GGAGGTGGAGGAAGGAGGATCACTTGAGGCCAGGAGTTTGAGACCAGACTGGGCAAGATAGTGAGACCCCTGTCTCTACAAAAAACAGAAAAATTAGCCGGGCATGGTGGCACACACCTATAGTCCTAGCTACTAAGGAGGCTGAGGTAGGAGGATTGCTTGAGCTCAGGAGTTTGAGGTTGTAATGAGCTAGGATGACAGCACTGCACTCTAACCTGGGCAACAAAGTGAGATCCTGTCTACAAAAAAGAAAAAAAAAAGAACAGCAATAGACACCATACAGGCACGAGCACAGAAAAAAGGCCACGTGAAGATGCAATGAGAAGGTGGCCATCTACAAGCCAGGAAGAGAGCCCTCACCAGACACCAACCCTGCCAGCACTTTGATCTTGGACTTCCAGCCTCCAGAACTGTGAGAAGATAAGTTTCTGTTGTTTAAGCCACTCAATCTGTAGTATTTTGTTATGGCAGCCCTAGCAGACTAATACACCATCACCTTTTAGCCTCACAAAGCCCTGCCAGGAGGTCTTTTAAATAGAAGCAACAATACTGATAAAAACAGTGATGGCTTATTGAGTGCCTGCCCTGTATTAGGCAGGTTATGGGTCCATATCGACGCTTTTCTGCCTCACTATCCCCAAGTCATAGATGAGGACATGAGGTGCAGAGAGACCAAGATGCTGTCCCAAGTCCCACTCTAAGTGACAGTGCCTGGGTCTGAGCCACACCTACATCTTGCTTTCTGCTACAACCACCTTTTCTACCTTTTCCTCACATACACAATAAATTCTAATTAGATGCACCGAAGCTGTTTCTCCCTAAAATAACTTCTACAACTCCCTCAGCACAGATCATCCTCCTGTGCCCACATCTGCCACCAAGTGCCATGACATAATGACAGCAATGATGTGAACTAGGCATCAACGAACAGGATCCACTTGTCAGATATCTTTTTTTTTTAGTTGTCCCATCCAGAGGTTGGCCAACTTTTCCATAAAGGCTCAGAGAGTACCTATGTTCACCTTTGCAAGCTGCATGGTCTCTGCTGCAGGGACTCAATCCTGCCCTTGTAGCACAAAAGCAGCCACAGGTGATATATAAACAAATGGGCAGGACGGCATTCCAACAAAACTTTATTTATGGACAAAAAAATTTTTGAATTCCACGTAATTTTCTTCTTTTGCTTTTATGTAACCATTTAAAAACATAGGAGGTCAGACCTGGGCTGTTCTAATCCAATACAACCCACTGACCAAGAAGAAAGCTACCAATACATCCACTGAGTTAGTTTTTGCCATTTTCTTATTGAAAAACATGGACTTTGAATTTCCACTTTGCTAAGACCCTTTTGCCTGGTTTCTCATCCAGGAATACTTGCTTCTACCAAACTCTCACTTCCAGGAACTCTCAAGTGCCGGAGAGGGGCTTGAAGCAGATCAAGTGCTTTTCTCTGCATAATAATGAACATCAAGGGAATGGTGAAAACAAACCCCCAAGTAGAATTTACATCTTTTTTTTTTTTTTTTGATAGCAAGTCTCACTCTGTTGCCCGGGGTAGAGTGCTGTGGCGTCAGCCTAGCTCACAGCAACCTCAAACTCCCAGTAGAATTTACATTTTTTTTTTTTTTTTTTTGATAGCATGCCTTTTGCTTTATACACAAACAGCATACATCTTTTATCAACACAGGAAAACATCAGGAGGCTTGTTGAATATTTCATAAACTCAAATTTGGTTAAGAAGGAGATAATGAAACAGTTGCAATGAAAAGAAAATGCCTCACTAATGACAGCCTCGCTGGCTTTTCAAATCCAACCACTTCAGAGGAGAGGGGATCTTATTACCATGCCGCACTGCTGCTGTTCTACGGTCTCAGGGATGAGGGAGTCTCATCTGCGACATGGGAACAGAGAGGGACTCTCAAGGGTCCTTCCCCTAACTATCGAGAGAAATAAAATTGGGTTTCGGTCTATTAACTCCATCACTTGGAAATGGCCAGATAGGTTTTCAGCAAATTTGAAAAATGTGTTTGCAAATGTCTTTGTTAAAATCCGGGCCGCAAGGAGTGTGGATCATTCTGCCTGAGTGGCTTTGGGAGGCAAGGGGCACCCTGAGATTCTCCATCATCCCCTAGCTCAGGGGTTGGCAAATTTTTCAGGTAAGGGCCAGAGAGGTGACATTTTCTGTTCTGCGGGCCATATGGTCCCACAACTACTCAACTCTGCAGTTGTAGCATGAAAGCAGCCACAGCAGCCACAGGCAGGACATATGTAAAGGGGTGTGGCTAGGTTCCAATAAAACTTTATTTACAAAAGCAGGCAGGGGGCTGGACTTGGCCTTCAGGCCTTAGTTTGCTAATCCCTGCTCCAGGCACTTGTAACTCAAGTGCAAGGAGAAGCCCATGCAAAGGAAAGACATGTTCTACTTCTTGAAACGGCACGGGCAGAGGAAGCAAAACAGGTTCCAGAATGAATCCCAAGGTGCACTCTGCCAGGACAAGCACGGCACACTGGCCTTTTTTGCATTCACCGCATATAGCTTCTCACCTTGGCAATGACTGCACGTAACCCACAAACCCCTAAAAAAAACTGATTGATTTAATCAATTGATTGAATTAATTTAAAAAATGACATTGCAGTAAAGAACATATTTGCTGATATGGAAACACGGTCATATTATCAGGTGAGGAAACCAAGCTGGTAGATATTCAGAGAACATAGCATAAAGAAAATGCATGGGGCCGGGCGCGGTGGCTCATGCCTGTAATCCCAGCAGTCTGGGAGGCCGAGGCGAGCGGATTGTTTGAGCTCAGGAGTTCGAAAGCAGCCTGAGCAAGAGCGAGACCCCGTCTCTACTAAAAATAGAAAGAAATTAATCGGACAACTAAA